TTTTTTTTTTTTTTTTTTTTTTTTTTTTTTTCTTCCAAATTCTGAATATTCGTGGGTGTTCAAATCAGCATGTGTGCACCTTGACTATTCTTATATGAGAACTACCGGATCCTATTATATTCTCATCCATCTAAATTAGAAAAGCACGAAATGAACAAGTAATCAATAAGACAAATCCATAAAGAGGGAGAGAGTCAGCTCAATTGTAATACCAGTCAGTAAACTCAAAATGCAGGGAACAAAATCAATCCAAAAAATAAATTGTTCAGCACATAAAAAAGTGCAGAGAAGACCATGATGATAGGGCCCTTGCCCATAGAGAACAATCATGGATCTATTTATGGAGCATGAAACTATTAAAACAGGAGTTTAGTTTTTTCAAATAATAAAAATAATTTTTGAGGTTTAAAACCACAAGACTGATGTTATCCATCATTGTGAAAGTAAACTTATTGAACAAGGTAAACGTAACATACCCATCATCGTTGCGGTCAAACATTTTAAACGTCACAAGAAAACTTGATTCTGGGATGCTGAGTAGTGTTTTCAGGAAAATATACCTGGTAAGCAAAGAAATTCGAGTATAATTATCAAAAGACTAAAATGTCATAGTGAGAAATTTCATAACCTCACGATGGGTTGATTATGAGATGGAAATATAATCTCATAGCACAAAGAATAATGTAACAAGTATCATAAAAATATAAAATATGGACGACTCACTCTTTAAAAGAAACAAGCCCATCATTGTTTATATCAAAAAGCATGAGCAAATCCGAAGGGGCACAACGAAGCATCCCAGGGTTCCTTTCCCCACTTAAATATCCATCTCTTACCAGATGCGACTCGGAAGGTGGAAAGACAGGAATCACAGCCCGCATTAGATCCATTGGTCTCATGAGTAATTCTCCATCTGGCGCACGAAATGATGCAAAATACTCAAAGACCTTCAGGAAATGAGATGGCAAGAAAATATGTCAATATAGCAAAATTTTAAACAACCTAACGTATCAAATTATTAGAAGTTAGGAACTTAGAACAACTGAAACTCAAGGAGCATGTGAAATTTACATTGTTGAAAAGCATCAAAACTTAAAGATAACAGACAACGATATATGTTGTGACATTAAAGGTTTCCAGAACGCCCGGAAACCAATTTGATCTCTCATTGTACTGATTTCTGCAATCCAATCCCCAAACTCAAACATTTCAGGAGCGAATTAGTCAATGGTTCAAATAAAATCAGCTCAGGATTCAGTTTGGAATACCTTATAGTTTGTAAAAAAAAATAAAAAAAATAAAAAATCTTTCAACAAAATGTTATTTTATCTTGAGAGATTTTCAAAAGTATTTTAAGTACAAAATTGTTTGATTGCAGTATAATAAAAAACGATTCTATTAATTATAAATATATTTTAATTTTTTGGTACATATTTGGAGAATGTTCAGTTACTACTTTAAACATCATATTTGGACCCTCCTAGTGGTTTTGATCCCCTAAAATCACTCGACAAGTATACTAAACACATTTTCAATTATTAATTTTTTCAAAGGTTCTTACGTAAAATCGATTTTGTTCAAAAAGCACAGGCAAGTTATTCCAAACCTACCGTGACTAGTTGCAAGGAAAAACCACTTCACTTCGGAAAAGAAGAGTCATAATATACTTCACACTGTTAGTTACTGAGACTGTCAAAGAAAAAATAAAAAAGAGAAATAATACAATTCACAAAATAACTAGTCTACCTTCTCCGGAGGGCTGTACAATCGAATACGTTTCTCGTAATTGAAGAATACCTTTCGACGAAACTCCTCTGCAACCACCAAGTAGAAAGGAGCAAAGAGTCAACAACACAAACACGATTTTATTTCCGTTTTTTCCAGCTACGATCACATATATATATACGTATTCACTAATCTCTCTTCATGATTTCTACTCCCCTAATCGGACGAAAGAAAAGAAAACCAAGAAATGAAAGAATGATTTCTTACCTTTAAACAGAAACTTGGAGGAGATTTCCGGTAGAGAAAATTTCCTAAAAAACGAATTCGAACACGGCTGCTCAACAACGCCATCTTCAACACTATCCACAGCAGTTGACTCCGCAAGAGCAAGTGCTGGAGTAGCAGAACTACCAGACGCATAAAGAAACCCTAATCCAGATCCTAGCAAAATTCCTGAGGTCAATTTGAGAAAGGAACCAATAAAAGAAGGGATCCGAAACCGATCGTCAGCCGAAATTGAAGCAGAAACCGACGAAGACGAAGAAGTCGATAACTGATTAACTGAGAGCCATCGGATGGGGCAGGGTGGGAGAATGGAGAGTGAGGATCTCCGGAGAGATCGTAAAGACAACATAGCCATAGCGAGAAGTGTCTGAAGTTAACGATGAGGAGAAAGAGGACGGAAAAGGATACATAAATAAACCCGGTTGAAATTAAATACTTCCCGGTTTTCTTAATGGCTTTGTCAAACGTGGAATAAAATAATTGGTGAAAATTTTAATAATTAACTGTGGGCCGATAACATCTTGACCCAGCCCACTGGATAATTGTACGGTTTACAAAACCCAAGGGAAATAATTCCCAAAAAATGACAATTTTCAAATTACATATAATTATATAGTTTATTTTATTTTATTTTTTTCACATGATTTTAGATTTTTTTTTTATTTTTTTATTTTTTTATTTATAGAGAGTGAGTATATGAGATGCATATAATAACAATTTTATTTTAAAAGAAAAATTAGGGTTGCTACATCAGTGATCTTAGCATACACATGATCATAAGAGAATCCACGGAATTGTGTTTTAAGCATCAACAAAACTCCAAAAGGTAGCTAGCAACCATGCAAGTTCAGGCATTGTTCAAACAATCTTTTTCCCCATCTTCTATGCCGCCCATTGTATCATACAAAGGCTTATTCAGCGTCTCGGGCAAGTAAAACGCCAGAGCCCCGCCCATAATTCCACACCCTGCAAACACCGCAAACGGCAGCCCTCCCCCCATCACCACCACAAACGGCGCCAATATCGCCCCCATCTGCGACGCCTGCGTCCCACACCCCAACGCCGCGTTCCTCACCACCGTTGGAAACAGCTCTGCCGTATAAATATACAACAAATTATAAGTCCCCGCCATTCCAAATATCCCCAACATCCCACACACCATCCTCACAATCTTCCACATCCCCACCCCCTTCATCAAACTCCCACATAAACAGAACACCCCACTGAACCACAAAGTCCCAATCGCCAACGGCTTCCGCCCACACACGTCCAACAGCAATGCTGTGATCAAGAAAGCCGGCATTTCCGCCACCGCGTTCAGCGCCACGGTCAGGTAAATATTGGTGTCCAGATTCACCACATTCAGGCTCAACCCGTAGTACACGACGGCGCACATGAAATTAATTGCCACGGCCAGAATCAACCGAATTCGAGTAATGGGCGAGCGCATCACGTCGAGGAGAGACCCCGATTGGGTAGTCTGCTGGATTTGGTCCTGTTTCGAGCTCTGTTTTGTATCTTCGTCAATGGCAAGAAAGACCCCTTCAGGGAGGTGGTTTCCATTCGCTTTGGCAATGGCAGCCATGATATTGGTAGCCTCAGTAACCCTGCCGCGGACGAGGAACCATCGGGGGGATTCAGAGATAAAGGGAAGGACGAGGAAGAGGAAAAAAAAGGAGGGAAGAGAGGTGGCGATGTAGAGTTGGCGCCATGATTTAAAGACGTAAGCTATGGCGGAGAGAGCGGCAATGCCGGAGGAGAAGAAGTAGAAAGTGGACATTCCAGCGGCGGCACGCTTGGCGGGGCCAAGGGGCTCAGTGGCGAGGACGAAGGCGCATAGGCCAACGCCACCGGTGCTGAAGCCAGTGAGGAAGCGGAGGAGAGTGTAAATCCAGTAATTGGGGGAAAATGCGGTGGCGATTCCGAATATGGCATTTAAAATGCAGACTACTTTGAGGGACCCTTTTCTTCCAAGTGTTGAATCTGAGAGATGCCCGAAAATTCCAGCCCCTGCAACAAATTATTTTTAAAAATTAAAAGATAATATTGAAAATTTAATTTATCAAAAAGATGAATCACGGGAGTCAAAAAAAGCGTACCAAAGGAAAATGAAAATTGATATCTTCCACTTCTATAAAGTATAAAGCTGCTACCCAAGAAGATAAGCGCAACCCTTTTTGACCCTTATAATACGTCACTTATTCTTTCTGGATTTTGGAATATTCTTCTCAGTCTCATGTATTTGGAATATTCTTCTCAGTTCTCATGCCTTGTCTACATCCAATCTTATCTCGTTAAGGGTTGTTTAGTAAATATAGTCTTTCAAAGTTTTAAAACATTCTTTTTTGTTTATCATTATAGCAAGTTTAGTTGTATTAAATTGAATCTAAAAATTAAGGGATTCATACTCTGGGTTGGTTTATGGTAACTAAGGCAATACTCAATGAATGGGGCAAAGCATGTGCCAAATTGGGTTGCCTTGGTGTATGGGGAATTTTGGCCTTTTTGGGGGCGACCCCACCAACATCCCTATCTCCACATTCAATTTTTGTTCCGTCAACAAGCTATGAAATAAATAAATTCTATTGTTGGCTGAAGTATGGTCATATGTGCAACCTAACCAAATGTATGCTCAACCAAACATTCTTTTGTTCACTATCATCCTATAAATGTGATATAAATGTATGGTGACAACATAGAGGTATCAAATATTTTTAAAAGAATTAAATTTGTCAATTGACCATAAAAAGGACCACCCTATTAAAGGGTATTCAATAAATTCAAATGAACCTACCTTGAGAAATCATTGTAGGTTCAATTTCCAAAGTTTTTGGTCAAACTTTAAACCAAAAACACATCTTTCGCTGTGTTTCCCTTAACAATCATCAATTAATCAGCTATTAAACCAAAAACAAAATAAGTTGTAGAGAGAGGAAGTTCTGACCAATCATGCAGCCACCAAAAAACATGGCCTGAACCAATCCAACCTTATACTTCTCACCGCAAATCAATCCCCATTCGGACACCGTGGATATCCCCGTTGCTCCGCTCCACCGCCACCACCCCGGTTCCATCTCGCAAATCCTCGCCCCTTCCGGACCGCACCCCGACCCGCCTCCCACGCAGCTCCACTCGGGTTCCTGGTCCGCGAAAATCATGACCAACGTGTGAAACGCCTCCAGTACCCAGGCTAGGCTCGTCAGAACGAAATGCCTCAGTTGCCACCGCCCGAACTCCCCGCAGTGCTTTTGCAGCATCTCGTCCACCGTTAGCCTCTCCGACCCCTTCCCAGCCGCCGCCAACAAAGGCTGCCGGATGTCCGCCGCCTGGCCTCCGGGATCTGACGCCGACATGTCGGACATTGTCCTCGTGGCTTACCGGATCTCTGTTTTGTGGGGGAAGAGAGCGATAAGGCAGATTTTGCGAGATGTAATTGTTTATATATAATATATAGACACACACACACACACACACACACACACACACACACACACACACACACACACACACATCTTTGGTTCTCTTGTTTTCTCCTGTATTGAGATGCAAGGGGATTCTGTGGAAGATAAACGTGGCGCGGATCCCACCGTCGATCTCTGTCTTTTCACGGACTCCTGGCCCACCATGCCCATCCGGATCTCGCCAATTCATCAGCTTGAATACTTTTAAAAAAAAATTAAATCGTGTTGTATTATAAAAGGTAATTCGTGATAAGCCTGAATAATTATTATGAATTAGATATAATTAAGCAAATGATCATCTAATATTTATATTCCTACTTCGCTTTCACCTATTTCTACGCCAATTTGTATTTATTTTATCTTTTCTTCTACTAGTCAACTTTCGACATCAAATCTTAGATATGATTTTGTTTTTGTTGATTTTTCCGAACTTGTTAGTACTCACATTCAACTTTTAATCATTCAAAATAATATTTACTAATTTAAACATTCAGCATGAATTATATAAAAATAAAAAGGTATACTTTTAAATATTTAAATATTTAAGTTTAGTTATTACGTATTAATTTACAAACTTTCCATTCAAACAATATTGACTAAATTTTAAAGAAACTAAAAAACATAAAATACAAGGAAATTTGTTGTAACAACTTACTTTTTTTAATAAAAAATAAAACTATTACTCCACGTGATCATTCATTTGTAAGAAAAGACATTTCATGTCAAAATTGGAAATGGACTTTAATATTCAATTGAAAAACTATTGCTAAGCTATCTTAATAATGAAATAAAACCAAATTACAGTTCTATATCCCCGTTAATAGATGTTGTCATACAAACATAAGATTCTTGTAGGAAAATATTTAATAATAATAGCATAAATATTTAAAAAATACAGGTACCTAAATTCATGCGTAAAGTCACAGGTTCAAATGTTGATTATTTTTTCAAACTTGGCGCTGCATTTTCATTGCTACAAAAATGGTTACATTTTGTATAAACTTGGTGTTGGATGGATAGGGTTGAAAGGTATTTGTTGTAAGGTTAGAAGATTTGAAGTAGGGCTTGTAGCCTAGCAAATTGAATGGGCTTCCCTTGAGTTTTCATTTCTGATTTGGCCCATTTGTTAACTTATTTAATTGCTTTTCCATGTCCAACCCCCCAACCACTTTATTTATTAAGACCCTATCAAAAGCTTAATTATACATAGCCACCTACCAATACAATAATTCTCAATAATAAATAATAAATTTAAAAAAAAAAAAAAAAAAAAAAGTAATGGGAGTCTCAGATTTCCCGCGTAAAAGGGGGGAATTAAAAAGGACGATCCTGCTTGGGGACAGCCTAAAAGGAAACTAAATAAATCCATTTTCAAAACTATTTTCCATCATTCCCTTTACCACTAAACTAAATAAAGCACCCACCACAATGTCGTTCCCCTCATCCCATGCTTTTTTCAAATTAATTCCCTCCCAAAACTCTATTTATTTTCTTTACTTTTTTTTATTTCATACCATCAAAACCATTTTAATTTCCTCATTTTCTAGAGTGAATAATAAACAAAATGGCTTCACAAAAATATTTGTATAAATGGAAAGTCAAGACAACCAAAATTCCATATTTTATATTATTTCTATATTTATATATATCTAAAAAAACAAAAAAAGAAATAAAAAAAAAAAAGGAAGAAAATTGCAATATGATTTGGGCATAGGATTCCGAGAAATGGAACCTCTGCTTTTTTTTTTTCTTTTTTTTTTTCTTTTTTTACAAAAGAAGAAAAAAGAAATAAATTGTAAGAAAAAACACCTCTACTAACTCGTATAACAGTATTAGCTATTATTAGAACTAATTTAGTTATATAGGCATTGGGGGTAGAACCAAAAATAAAAATAAAAAAAGAAAAAGATAAAAGAAGACAAAATTTTCCAGCACGATTTTGACATTTTCCTCTCCTCTCTCTCTCTCTCTCTCTCTGTCTCTCTCTATCTTAGAGCTTCAAATCCTTTCTCCTTCCTCACCTGATTCCTCAACGCCTCTGCGAATCCCAATCAATCATACACAAACATCAATATGAATATGAATATGGAATCTTAAATCATCAAAACCCAAGATGGATCTAACATTGAACACAATAATCAACAATAAACTCATCGAAGAGGATGATTTACCTTTGGGTTGGGCCTTGCAACTGGGGGGATCTTCGAAGAGAGAGAGAGCAAGTTGTTTGTGAGCGACACCAATATCAAAGAGAATAAGCCCAGATTTAGGGTCATCCACGATGATATCCTTAACGGGGAGCCATAAAAAGAGCTCCTCTTGAGTGAGACCCTGTACGCCAATCAGACTGCCATAGCTGAGATTAGCCCTAACAACACTCTCAAATAGAACCCTGTTCTCATATTTGGTTAAACAAGGCCCATCCAGGAACACTTCCAACAACCCATTTTGAGACAGGGTGTACGACTTGACCTCCTTCGGAAGAAGGCCGGCCGGCAGCCCTTGGGAGCGGAGGAGGTCGTGGATGGTGGAGGAGAGAGACAGGGAATGGGGAAGACGGAGAGGGAGAGAGAGGAGGGAAATGTAGAAGAAGAAGGTGAAATTATGGAAGAAGAAGGCGGAGGCCATGGCGGATTAAAGAGGGAAATTAAAAAGAGAAATGAAAAAAAAAAGGGGGGATTTTAAGAGCAGGGCAGAGCAGAGACGAGCAGAGATGTGGTGGTTTGATCTTGATCTTGTTCTTCTTCAGACGGAGGCAGGGTTGGGGGAAAAACGTGGGAAGGGGGAAGTTTAAAGAAATACGGTGGGGGGACTGTACGGAATTTACAATTTTACCCTCACTCTTCGGTGGGGTGCTGAATTATTTCAGGTTTTCGAGATTTTCATTATTTTGTTTTCTCTACTCTACTATTATTACCAAAATTCACATTATACTCGCAACCACTTTCTGCTTTATTTATTTATTTATTTATTTCCTTTATTATTCTTCTTCACAGTATTCCAAAATTAAATTAACCTAACCTTGTTTCAATTTCTTTTTTTTTTAAAGCGTTTTCTATTTTTTTTTTTATTTAGAAAAACCATTTTGGAGGATTTTCTTTTACTTCATTCATTTTAATATTTGCATAAGTTATGTTTTTGAACCCTTCCAAAATTATTTATATATGAGAGACATGAGGGTATTATAGTAAATTCAAAATAACAAAACCTAAAAAAATATCGAAGAATTTTGGGCAACGTAACGCCTGCGCCTGCAGTTAAAATGTCAAGAATACGCAAGTTTCAAGTGTTACGGGAATCACGCGACTAAAACGGAGGGTAAAACGGTACTTACGCTTACGAATAAGTCTTCTAATCGGCGTACAATTAGCCAATCCCAGTCAGCAGCAGCTTGGCCCACGGAGCATATTACGCCGTTTGCATGGTACCTTTCTAACATAACAGCACATCGATTTCCACTTAATTTTCAAGTTTGCCACTGTTCGATTTTGCCCCGGTTGATGATTATGTCACCAATGGGGGACCTAAGTTGGTGACAGAACGCAAAAATTTAAAAAAAAAAAACGCAAATGATTCGACAGCGTGGACCAGTGTGCCACCGGCAACTTGCCACTCACGTTTGCCGTTCCCGCAAATTCTTCAAGACGGATCGCTCTTCTGAGATGAAGCCGAGCAGGTTGCCGGTTAAAAAATTGGTCCCACGTGTGGGCTTTTCTGTGGGCCTCACGCGTGACAATGCAACCCATGTTTTATGATGATTGTCCCCCCAAATAAGAAAATAAGAAAATTTGGACCAAACCAACCGAAGTTATTGGGATTAATGTATTGCTTAATTATCTTAATTATTGATTACAAATCATAATGTTTAGTTTAAAACTTACATTTCTGTAATTTTCTGTTTTGGTTTTTATATTTAACCCTTTCTCCCTAAACTTTATATATTAATGCGTATGTAATAAAATTGAGAAGATTTATTGATGGGAAATGGGAATTGAATAATAAAATTAGATGGTAAATAAAGGGGTAAGAGTGATGAGTTGTTATGGTGTTTAAAGGGAGGGGTGACAGATTTGAAGCTGGCTGGTTGCTTCTTCAGGGCTCTCTAAACCCATGAAAATTAGTGGCTACTCATTAATTCATTACTTCAATATCACAAGTTTCTAATTGGACATTAATCCCTCAAATCAATTTCAGGATATAATTTAAATTAATTTTAAATATATATATACTTATTTTGTTAAAGAGATAATTATATTGCCAATATTTATTTCTTCTAAAATTAGAATTTCAGAAGCTAATATGAACAACATCCTCACTTCTTTTGAGGGATTCTGTGAATAAAATATTTATCCAAATCAAGTATTAAAATATTTATAAACATACCCATCCAACCATTTAATAAACCAAAATAAGTTTGAACCTGGTTGGTGGGTATTTTATATTGTGGGTTACTTTAATCTATTTCAATGTCAACGAAGTGGGTAACTCAATTCAAACTATATAAATTAGGTTCGGTTTATTAAGCTTTTCAAGTTTCGGGGTTTAAAATACTCCATAAGAAAAGAAAAAAAAAGTAGTAATATGAAGGATTCTCTTCGAGTGCATAACTTAATTTTGTACGATTAATAAGTGGAGTTACAATTGTTTGATTAATGAAAGATTTTAATTAAATAGTTTTGTGTTATTAGAGTTGGTAAGGTTTTATATGATCCAATTAGTTAAAAAGAAAATTTTGAAATGTTTAAATACATATATTTAAAATATATAGAAAATTATAGAGAAAGTTGAATGAGATTTAATATATAAAATTGAGAAAGTCCAAAAAAGTTGTAAGAAAATCCTGAAAAGGGTAGAACAAAACTTCGACGTTCTCAAGCATACCACATCGGCAGAATTATGATTATTCTCTTTGTTTTTAATCTGGATTGTGACCTCGACTATCGCCGAGCTCAGTAATGTGGGCTTGTAACTCGAATGGGGGCTATGAATTGGTTGGATGTTGGTACGACTGGTCGAAACAGGGTTTCTTGAGGTTTATCTTCTGGCCTGCCCATTCCAAGTAGGGAGCTGGCTAGTGGGCCTTTAGCGAAGGCTGATGGGTCCACTGGCCCTAAAGGGCGGAGGAGACTGCGTGAGGCTGGTTTCACAGAGCAGCGTTACCTCCCGCTTCTGTCGGTGGACGGATAATGGGCCGGGTCTCTTGGCCCAACAAAATTCGCTGGTAGTCCCTCGACCGTTAACAACCAATTTTTATTTTTTCATCTTCCGTTAAAATCCTGCCATTTTTTTTTATCAATCCTTTTTATTTATTCATCTTGATCAATTCTTTTTATTTATTCATCTTGATCAATTCTTTCATAATCTTGAACAGTCCTACGAAGAGGATGACGAGAAATGTGGGTTGGTTGGTCGAAAACAAACATTTATGGCAACCATTTGAACATCTTGTTCTTGTTTCTTTTAGGAGTTTGATGTATCATAAAACATGTTTAGATTGCGTTTGAACCTATTTTATATATGAGATGTGTGTTAGGATGAATTTTTTTTTTGTGGTAATTATATGTCGGGTAATTTGCTACCATTGTCACTAAAATGGGTGATCCAATATGAATTTTGTGGTAATTAGATCAAGTAATTAGCCACGAAGATTACTAAAAAAATGTGAGCCTCAATTTTATTATCTAATTTCATCCGGAGAAATAAAGTATTGTTCTGGTCATTGTGAATGACTCACGGTTTTAGTGTATTTATGTGCTAGTTAGGGTATGTACGTGTGTATGTATATCTAACTCCAACGAAAGAGGGCTCTTACCGAATATCTTTTTGTATCCACTTTTTTTCATAACGATTTCATGGACGATTTGAGCCATGAGACAGAACTCTCTAATGTTTTATGTTATAAATAGGTTTGTTTGAATGTGTTTTGTGTTATCAAATAACTCAGGGTTTATAAAAATTACGGAGGTTGTGAATTGATGATGCTTTTAACATCACAAGAACATACATATTATTTGATTGCAAGGGGGAAAAAAGGAACAAAAAGAAAAAGCGCATAAAAATCTGCCTAATTAGTGAAGGTTGAATCCTGTTGGCACCATTGCTTATGACCAGCAACCCACTTGGGGCACTTAGGGCTGAAGTAACTACCCACCACTCTCGAGTTCAAAAGCTGAACGATGGGCTCAAACTTCACACATCTAGGCGTTTTGTACTGATTTATAGAAGCTCCCATGGTTATGGCATAATCCATGAGCTTATCAAATGTCCCAATTTCGACAACCTTGATCTCCAAGGGGCCGATGGACTTGTCCGACACCCGCCCTTGACGGTATACGCTGTTCAGCGACTCCTCCATCGTGAGACAACAATCTTCGAACACCGACGGCGGCACTCGGGTCGACCCCTTTTGGTTCACCTCCCAATACACCACGTAGTGCCCCGGAATTGTTGATGTGTTGGCGTAGCTTGTGTAGTCCACTAACGTTGCGTCGAATGGCACCAAATGGTTGACGGAGTTTTTCACCGCATTTTGGAGTTCAACTTCATCGGTCTTGTCGGAGTCAATGCTTAGAACAACGTTCTTTCGGCACACGAAGTTGAATTGAGGAGCTTTGTTTTTGAATCCCGCCACTCTTAGAATGTCCCCAACTCGATATCGATACAGTCCTGTGAATTAAAACAAAATAATTTCATTTTCATGGCTTCCATAAACAATAGTTGAATAGAATGGTTTTACCAGCATAAGTTGTGACGACGAGCTCATATTCTTTGCCGAGTTCGACATCGGTAAGATCGACAAGTTGGTGTTCGTGATTGTGGTTTGTTTGGAGAGGAAGAAACTCAAAATAGGCCATGGAAGGGATGAGAGTGTAAGCAACTTCATTTGGGCTACAAAGAGGGTTAAGATTGAGGCCAAAATAGCACTCGGAAGAAGCATACATGCTACACACCAAGGGAAGCCCATTGCTATAATAATCAAGCGTCCCAATATACTGCGACATTGCCCCTGTTACAATCACATCCACATACTTGGTATTAGGCCACAGCCTTGTAATGATTCCCTGCCACGACCCCTTACAGCACTCCCCCTCAATGAAGTCCCCCAGCTCAGGGTCAGGCCTACGCAGGACTGACATCAGTACAGCCTCCCGAACCGCCTGGTCCGTGATTTGGGAATTAAGTGTCCCACTCCGGATATCATGGCAGAGTAGCTGCCAGTGCTTCTCCAGAAACCGTATGGCGCGGATAAAGCCAGAGGCGAAAACCGCGCCCACGCGTAGCACATCGAGACGGTGGCAGAGGCCGCACAGCACTTGAGCGTACATGCTTTGGTATGAGTCCGTACAAAGTATAGCCTCATTGGGGCTGGTGTAATTGGTGTAGGGATCGTAGGGGCGGTCCTTAAAGTGGGAGCTTTTGTAGTAGCTAGTTAAAACAGGGCGAGCGAGAAGGCCGCCAGGGGTTCGAGCCTCGGCTTTGACGAACAAAAAATACATTCCTTTACCCTTCTCCAACCCCGGAATGAACTGGGTCATTACAGGCATCAACAAACTATACAAGAGTGAGCGACGGTCGAGCTCTTCATGGATAGTGGGCATCAGCTTTCTCTCGCCGCCGGAAGTGCCGGAGCTGGTTAAGAACTCGGAGATGGGAGAAGAACAAAGAATAGGGGAAGTGTCGCCATTGGCGATGCGGGTGATGAAGGGTTGGATGTGGTCGTAAGAGATCAAAGGGATGGATGATTTGAAAGTGTCGGGGGAAGGGCGGGCGTGGAGGGTTAAGTACTCGGAGGAGGCATTGCGGGAGAGGATTTGGGAGAGGACTTGGCGCTGCACATGGGCGGCGTTGGTGGTGATGTCTTCGATGAATTGGAGGGCGGCGCTGTTTTTTTCCAGCAGAGAGGGTGCGTTTGGAGCTTCAGGCATTTTTTGTTTTGGAGAGAATGGGAGTTTGTTAGAGAGAGGGAGGAGGGAAGGAATGCGTGGGGGGGAAAACAATGGAACAATTCTCTATTTATAGACAACACGTAAACAAGCATTACATAACAACGCCTTTTCCTTTTTTTTTTTTTTTTTTAATTTAATATGTAAAATTACTATTTTAGCCCTCTTTATTTAGTGCTTTTGTATCTCATCTTTTTCATGCTTCATTTCCATTTCTTGTCAAACTAAAACATTTTGTTATAAATATCTTCAATCTCCCATTTTAATTATCTTCATTTGGATAATCCTTTATTTGTTAATAATAACCAAATATTTTAAACCTTTTAATTTGGTTTATTTAGTCCATAAACTTTAAAATATTTTAATTGACTTCTACTTTTATGGAGCACCGTACCACATTTATTTAAATAATATTACTTGATTTGATACAACATAATAATAAAAGATAAAAATTGCCCAAGATTCGAAATCAGGATTATGGCCTCGACATGCAACTACGTTACCTACTCGTCTTTTAAGAGTGGAGACAATTCAGTAAAACATGTTTGACCACGAAGTTCTTATAATTGATTCATAAACTTTTATTTTTTTTAAAGTTTTTTTTAGTCATCATATATTTAAGATCGCTCTCATTTGAACGTAGTTTTAGTTCATGTTTCATTCATTTATTCATGGCATAACAAGTCCGTGGATTAATATTTAATTTTAATTAAAAATAACTGGCAATATCCGGTAAACACGCAGTGTTTGTAGCGCGGGTGTCGTACGAAATACCGGCAGGCACTTCCATTATTTGTGTTTAACGGTAGCGTAACCGTGTATTTTCCGATGAAGAGAAAAAGGACGAGATTTGGAGTCAATGAAACGCGAGAGAACAAATGAGAGAAATAATAGTATGCTTTGTTGCGTACGGTAGTTTACTGAGGAGTTTCTTATTGAAGTATCTACGTGGGACCAGCCAGCTGGCCACCTACCTTGTAAGGTTGACACGTGCACGATTGTTTTAAAACGCCAACACTGTGACTTCACGGTTCCCCTGCCCGGACTCAACTCTGCCCCTCCCATTTCCTCGCCAAAACATCGGCTCCCCAAACAAATGATCGCTCCGGTTAGGGTTACAGATACGATATTGCAACAAATATCAAACAATGAAAGAATGTATTAATAGTTTAAATTTAGTAATCAATTACTATTATGAAAATCATTTTCGTAAGATCTTATGCGTAATGATAAGATCTTATTTTTCAAGTCTCAAGATCCGTACTTAATGAATAGTTTTTTTAGATAGTTTTTAGTCGAGTGCTTGTGATGGTTGGGAATTTGAAAGGGTGGAATAAGGGATTTGAGAGGTTAAAGAGAAAGTGAACTAAAAATTGGAACATGGAAAGAGCTTATAGAAGCAATAAAGGATGTTAATGAGCAAGCATGTCGTTAAGACAGGATGCTGCCTTGATTAATGCGACACTTTGCTTTAATTAACAATTATTTACATCATAAACAATCCACTCCATCCTCTCTTCAATTGGTACTTCCAGATTTCAACTCAATTCTCAATCTTTTTCACTGCATATCCACTTTATTTCACATGCCACCCAACCCCATCTTCTTCTTTTCCAATCTCTCTCTCTTTTACTTCATAATTTGTGTCACATGTAACTCATTCTTTTTTAATCTCTTTATAAACTTTGATAGAGTCTTTCGTGGGTGCCTCTCACAAGACATAGTCACTGAGCACAAAAAAGATAATATCTGTCATCGTTGATGTCCCAAAATAAAGAAGACGACAATGGATTTCCCATATCACTATTTAATTCTAACCCTTTTCACTTTGAGACACAACAATTTCTGATCATTCATTTTCCTCTTTCTATCCTCATTACATTACACTCTTCTCTGCTTCCTTTCTTTCACTTATTATACTTACCCTAAACAACTCTCCGTTCTTTCCACTGTTTCAGACCCACTTTGTCCGTCGAGTGCCCTAAATTTAGGGGGTCCCAGTCACTTAACCAATGAAAATAAATATTAACATATTCAACAAAAGTATAAAGAAAAGGGTGATAATGTTTTGTGAAAAGGTGAACCAAATCTTGTTTCAAATCAAAAACAATACATAAACAGTAAAGAAGATGCAAATTATGGGAATTGGATTCTAGCTTTTGGTTATGGCCTCACTCATCAAAACATATTGCTTCCACTTTTCTAACATAATATTTGAACATAGTTTAATTAGTTATAATCGATATGGTTGGTGTAAAAAATCGAAAGATAAGCAGCAAGAATCAAAAGTACCTCAGAATATGGAATAAAAATCCTCCGCCAACTGAATTATGCTTGGTGTGAAACACAACGTTAGAACATGAACAGACATAGGATTATAAACCAAAAAACATGTAGAAATGCCAGCTACGGGAATAAAAGGCAGACTTCCCAATTAGGAAAATGAAGAAACACTAATCATGATTAAGGGTGTTGCTTCACCAAAACCAATGTAATTACCTTAAAAAATTAAAAAAAAAAAAAAAAAACAGGAATTTGGGTACAAATTAGAGAGAAGGAAAGAACAAAGTGGCGAATGAGCGACCAGGTTTAGGCCTCAAATCACATGCTTAGTACCAGCAAAATGAGTTTGTCGGCAACTTTTTGAACCCTATTGTGTCTTAGAGGCACATAACAAAGTTACATACATGATAACATACAATTAAATCAACAAAATCACGGTTGAAAAACCATGAAAAGATGGATCAGAAAAGAAAAAAAAAAGGTGGGAAATCATGATTTAAAAGGGTTATGTGTGTGTGTGTGCGTTGATTTATTACAAAGCAACAAGGGATTCCATGAAGTTTTCGAGTTTGATTAGATTCCTTAATTAATTATACTATAAAGTTTCTATCCTTTTAAGTGGTTTTGGTTTCGCTGCCAAAAAGCATGATGAATACATTATATAATTAATTAGTGTCCAATGGGTGAAAAAGGTGGTTAGCTAAATAATGTTAAGGTAATACAGTTTAGTTTGAACCCCATGGCTATGTGTATTATGTAAAACATGGTTTCAAGGTGTAGATAGAAAATTGTAGTATCATTCATTGTATATGCTACTTCATCCTTCACCATATGAAGTTCACCATATGAAGTTCTATATATTGTGTGGCGTGTTCTTTATAATGTTGGGATATAAAGGAGTTGACTGATCAGAGAGTCTTGTGCATTTCCTTTGAACACGTTTCAAGTTTTACATCACAAAATATGTTGGATATTTTATTACATAGTTTCTTCACTGAATGGAATCTATGGATTGTGGTTTGGAAGGGAAGAAACTAAAAACGATGACCAGATTAAGCAAGTCGGGTAACTTCCAAGATCAAACATTCTAGTCGAGCTAGAGTTGATATAAAGTTTGTGAAATGAACGAGTTAGAGCTATGAACAACTATCTATGATAGAGATGAATCAAAACTCAGATGTTTGTCAAGACTTCTAGAAATCAAACGAATACAAGAACAGAGATGCATGATTTGAAAAGTAAAAGATGCAACATTGTGAGCAAAAAAATAGTATCATAAGTGGAGAAGTAGAGGGCGTACTGTGTATTTGGTGCAGAAAGGTGGGGATGTTTGGTCCCATTTGGAAAAATGAATCTAAAAGTGAGTGTCTTGTCTCCCTAAAACTGAACCCCATGAAGAATGGAAAGTGATTTCCATAATTGTCTCTCTTTAAGCGTTTCTCTTTTCGCCCCCACACACCCTCTCTCTCTTTCTCTCAGCAGAAGAGAAGTGGATGAACACTGAAGTTCAAAGCCCTCAAATGGTACTGTTTGTCTATCCAAGATAGAATTTAATCTGGAAGAGATGATCAAGGGGTTCCAAAGAGAACATTTACAAAATTTCTTCAATCATTCTCATCATTAGACAAAATGTAGGGAATAACATTCAACATTCATCGTTCTGATTTTGGTAAAGGGAATCTGATAACAATCAAGACATAAAATAGAACAATCACTGAAACACGAAAATATTTCTCTTCCAACTACACGAAGCGATTACAAGACATAAATTAGAACAATCACTGGAACACGGAAATATTTCCATTCCAACTACACGAAGCAATTACATTAGGTAAGGTTGGGTGGATGGCAACGTCTGTGCAAGCCTGTTCAGATGCTTTTAGTTTGTGTATAAGCAAGGATGATTTATAATCGTAGAAATATATAGAGCCATCTGAAGAACCAGAGATGATTTGCTTGCCATCCAAGCTGAAGTTACATTTTATTGGAAAGCCTGAGACTACATGACTTCCATACCTCTTGTATTTGTCTAATTTGAAAGGTGGGTTTAGAGAGAAGATTGCAATATAATCTCCGTTCGATTGGGCAATAAAAACTGGATCAAATGGGTGGCATCTCACGCATGGACAAGTGTAGGCTTCCATATAAACCTATTATGTCACTTTCAATTAGCTCTTCTGTATCTCAAGCATGCATAACAGAAGTGCTAAAAAAAGCAAACAAAAGATTACCTAAGGAACCTAAATGCAACTAAGTTCCCACTACTAATCATGGTATTAAGTAATAACTGATTATATTTACCACACAGCAGTATTTGCAACTAAGTTTCTTTATGTTTCTCAAACATGCAGAGATCATAGGATGCATCTTTATCATTAAAGACCACTAGGAGTGATGAGACATGATTAGGCAACATAGTGGTTTGCATAATGGAAGCTAACCAATTTTCTTCCTTATGTAGCTTTCTGACACTGCTTGAAATTGGATTGTGCAAATGAATGCAAGAGGACAAATGATAATTGTAGTGATGAAAAGGAGGGTGGAAAATAACATGCCTGATATGAAAGCGGAACTTCTCTTGTGACATCCCAAACGATGACAGAACTTTCACTGCTATTGCTTGAAGAAACATCGCTAGAAGAAATGAATTGATTGCCATTAGGAGTAAATTCAACATCAAGAATTGGGCCAAGCCGTCGATTGTATTTGTTGACCACTTTTCCAATTCTCACATCCCACATTCGTAGGCTGCCTTTCAGTCCACCGGAAAGGAAGACACTTGGGTTGTTAGGGTGGAACTTTACAACTGCAACGCCTTGATCCTCCTTGAATAGTCCAACTTCTGTTCCCTTCTCAACATCAATCAATCTTGAAGAACAATCATATCCACAAGAAAGAATAGATAATCCTTGTTGTGACCATTCAACATCTTTAACTGCAGCGTTGTGGATGCTTGACTTGAATGCTAGCTTCTGCTCAGTGCTCCATATGTTCCATATGCAGATTGTGTAATCCATAGCAGCAGAAGCAAGGAGATGAGCTGCATTAACTCTAACAAACAGATCAATAAGCCAGGGCATAAAGACCATGCAAAAAAATATATCCTAACAGAAGAACAGAACTAGCAATGATAATGGAAAGAAACTAGGTAATAAACTTAATCAAATAATTTACCAAAACATAAAAGAAAGAAAGAGAAATGGAAGCTCACCATGACTTGGTGACCATTGAACTGCATTGACGGCTTTTGTATGGCAGTCAAGACTTACAGACATCCTTTTAGGCATGAGGCCTTGCTGCAGATAGTTCTTAGCTCTACTTCTCAACAATGACAAGATATCACGTGGAAGATCAGAATCCGAAAGACTTCCAACTGTTTGAATTTTAAGCTAGATTCATCAGATTCTTTACATGGTACTTTCCTATATGAATTTCGCGATATAATTCAAGGTACATGAAAGTTAATTTATTGGATACACGAGTTGTATGCACGCCTATAAATCGATCCTTCCCTCCATAATCAATGAATAAAACACAAGCCAAAGAGTGAGTTATTGCGAAGACTCCTTTATGTAGCATATCAAAAGAGTTAAGATAGTGGCACCAACAGAAATGGCAATCAACTAAACTAAACTCATACTTTCAGTTAATGAATAGATAAACGCTAAAAAAAAGAACAGACAAATACCGGTTGAAGATTGGACGGATGGATTCAGAAATGATTCTGGAGCCCTAGAAACTGGAGCTGAACTCATGAGTGCTCGCTCCCTCTTGGAAATGTAGCGTCCAGGAACCATAATCTCCTTTTGAGGCTCTGAAGTGGAGTCCGGGCTATGCGATGGCCGGAACATCGGCTGGAATTGGGAATGTTCGGGTCTCTTCGATGTTGAAGAGGGGAGAGCTAAACGCTTGGGCTGAGGTTCATCTTCTTGGTTGTCTTCGTCAGAAGTATTTGAGTAAGCTTCGAACAGATGCTCCATAGCTCCGAAATTATGTGAAGAACATTGGAAATGAGTTTCGCCCTCGCAATCGGCTTCTGCGGCGGGGAGAATCGGATCGAATACTTCCGACGGCCAATGGACCTCAATCTTGGGCTCAAAACAATCTGAAAGAAAGACTCCACCCAAGATCAAGAATTTGGATTCATTTTTGGCCCATTTGGACCTTTTACGTTAAAGTGTGGCCCAAACTTTTATGGGCTAAAAACCCAACATATTTTTGGAGGCCTGGAACAAGACCATACTTTTTCATATTTAAAATAATATATTTTAATATCTACTATATTAAAAAATATATATTTATTTAAATCATATTTAAATACCAAAAATATTTCAATATAGATTCAAATTTAATTTTTATTTACTATATCTAGTATTAATGGTTGTAATATTAAATCTATCAAATTCAATAAATATATTTATATTTATATTTAATATATATAATATATCAAATATTAATTTCCTAACCCTACCAATTAAATATTATATATATATATATATATATATATATATTAAATATTAATTTGAACCATTCAAAAATAACTATTTAAATTTTCTTTCAAATTCATCTTATTAGGACCTAATTAATGATACAAAATTAATTAATATAAATAACGGTAGGTTACTCTACTATAGGCTAGAGTTGGATTGTGAAAATCTAATTTTATTAGACTTTCAATCACATATCACAAAATGAATTGATAGACAGACAATAAAATATAGGATAAAATTTTTCCTAGTTAAAAAAAAAAATACTCTATTTAAAACAAAGACAAACATTTACAAATCGAAGTGTTGTTTACACATTTATTATAAAACGGGGACTAGGGATAAGATACAAAATAAAGGACAACAACCCCTAGCACATAAGAATTGATGTCCCAAGACAACTCTCCTCTATGATTGCGCAGCTCTCAAACGCTCTCCCACCTCGACCAACCATCAATATCACCTGAAAAAAAGGGTAATATCTGGTGAGTAAAAACATACTCAATAAGCAATGTTCGTAGGGCATCTAGACGACTTATAACTTGGACATGTTATTTTCGAGACTTTCTAGACTAAATCTTGGGGCTAATCTGGTTCGTGGAGTACTAGGATTTAGTTCACTTATCACCTCTCACGATCTTGAGGTACTTGATGTATTAAAAGTATCCTAACATAGGTCATCCTAAAATCATCATATCTCTAGCGTCCTATTCCTATCATAGCTCATTTATACGTGCTCAAATAGGGAAATAAATAATTCTATCACCTGGGTGGAATTCATCTTATATAGCATACAGGACTAAAATCTGCAGACAACACATATACCATGCTTATCATTTCAACACACACAAATGTCCTAATCATGCATTTTCTAACTATAGAAGGTAGTTCATGGTCGCATACTAAATTATCTTAGTGATCCTTATAATTACTACTCAAAAGAATTTCAAATGGCTACTTACTTAGGCGGTGTGCCTTTTCTCAAGCATACCTTTTCCGCTTGCTATAATCCTAAAAGAACATATAAGCTAGACACATTGTACTTAAATTCAAGATATAATGGCGAATTGAGAACCTAGTAATGAACTATTTATTGAATGTTTATATACTCATTCTCATTCATGTTACTCTTTCTTTTTAGATGATGTATAAGCTTACATACTCCAAAGTTTATATAAACTAAATTACTTTTAACTGGTGTATAAACTAATCTTAAAACTTTGAAAGTATGGAATATTCGTACATTTCATAGGATATAAATTAAAATAAAACAAGGTATGGACTCTAGTAGTATTATTATTTAATTTTCACATGAAAAAGAGGTCCCTTAAATATAGCAAGATTATAAGGCACGGATGGGACCCAATGACACATAAATACACAATGAACACAAGAATGTTTCATGGAAGAGGGTCAAGATCCATGTCAACCCCACTAGCTGGAGGAATGAAAGAAAACTAAAACTATAATTATAAATTATAAATCAAATTAAAAAAATATTGAATGAAAAGACAGAAACCCACTATCTATTTAGTCATTCTTTTTAGTATACTTATCATTATCTTGTTTGAAAAGATTCAAATCATTTGAATTACAAGCACAAGTCAATGAAAAGAAAGGTGGTCTTCTGTGGTCCTTACATCTTCAAATCCCATTATCATTCCTTAACATATTTTTTATATAAATAAAAAAACCAAATAAAATTATTTAAGCAATTAAAATGACAAATTCTCATTAATAAATATTTGAGTTATATATATATATATACATAGTCTAGAGGGGTTAGGTGAGGATACTAAGGATTTGGACAGCTCAAACACGACAATAAATTTGTCATTGTCTCTCTCCTGTATTATTAAGCTTACCGTTATAATTTATTCTCTAAAATATAAATATATAACAAACTTAGGGTTAATACCCTTTTTGGGCGGGAAAAAAACTATATAATAAAATGGATTTGTGCAGTCCAAAAAAATAAACAAAGTAAATTGGTGGAAATCTTAGTTGGCTTTGTCGCATTTGGTGGGTGACTAAGTGGCCGTATTATCTAAAAAGACAACCCTAGATCTAAACTATATGATATATATATCTTAATTCAACCTATAAATTCTAGATTTTGAATTATATGTATTTTTAGTATTTATTTTCAAAAAACTGTTGGAGATATTTTTATAAAAAAAGATTGAACAAAAGTCAAAAGCAATGGAAATAGAGGCCATAGAAATTGGTAAGCAGAAGGTTTAGCATTGCCTTAGTCAACCTCAATATTATGTTGGTTGACTTTTCAACAATTGTTATTTTAATATATGCTGACTTAACAAGATGAGATTTGTCCCATTAGACAGTCACTAAAATTTATCCATCACATCACATCATACCTTAATTTACATTCCAACAATTATTACCCCTTCTTCTCAGTGCTTTCTGACATAATCACATTCTAAACACTGAACTTATAAGTAATTAAACACATTAAAACACCTTTCTAAATATCTTACCTATCACTCACAAACATTAATTCGAATATCTCACACACCATATCTTTCTTTCATTTATTGTCTCCCCTATGCTTCAACCTAATAATTTCTCATTCTTTTTTTTTTTCTTCTTAAATTTAAAAATGTTTTAAGAGAAAAGAGAGAGAAAACCGACCCACTACGAGACGTGTTTCACTCTCCCCAGTTTTGTAGGTTGACTTTTTTTTCTTTTTCTTTATTCTCAATAATAATCTAGTAATAGGACAAAAAAATATTCAAATATACCGTGTAACCAGATATTATTCAATAGTTAGAAATATACAAATTGGTAGGTAAAAGTGGTATTTATAAAATTAATAAAAATAATAATAATAAAAAGAAGCAAAATAGTAGAGGTTTTGTTTGATTATTAATAAGATTTGAGTGGGTATTTAAAAATTTAGTTATGGGCTCTTCTTTTGAAACTCACATGGTGACACCCTTCACTCACTTTGGTGTACCCTTTTGTCTCCTCCCTTCCTATGGGTATAATCCACTACTCCCTGCCTATATTTTCTTCTTCTTTATTTATTATTATAATATAAGGTACCTCACCCTTACCACATTCTTACATCACTCTCTTACTCTTTTCCATTATGCTGCATCCCCGGTGACATGGTCACATTATTTATTTTTCGCTTATAACAATGAAGACCGTCCCCACAAATCAACACATTCCTTCCAACATGTTTTATCTTCACTCAAATGTATCGTACGAAGATTGCTAAGAGGTCCCTCAACATAGAATTGCTCCAAGCAAAGCACGTTCAACCATAAAATTCATAATAGAATCACCGAAAAGAAAGATGCATTCAAGGCATTACAAGTGGTATCACTTATTTTCAAGTTAACGTGGAATTGAAAAGTGGAACAAGTGCCAATGAAGACGTTGGGCCTCGAAGAGGGTGGATTGTAAGAGGTGAGATGGGTGATTAATAATGAAACAAATATTCAGTCATTACAAGCTACCATTCAGTATGCATTATTAGTGATTTCTAACTGGCAAACTCTTATTGACATTACTTGATATTCAAATTTTTTAATCTCCAATTTGACTTTGTATGAACATGTGGGTGTGTGTGAACTGAAATGGGTTTTTCAAACTTAGAAAAAAAAAAAAGGCACGATGAGAGAAATAAGTGTGGGTTGAAGGTTGAAAACATTACAAAAACTGTGATCTGTCATAATTTATTTTGTATGGCACTACTCCTTAGTGGGGTTATGATACTCTTATTATTAGAACACCACAGCTTCCCCTTCAAACAAAACCAATATGTTTATGTTGCTTATGATTTGTTCATTCATATTGCCAAATGTTTTGTCGAATCCGCATCAAACTGAAGTGTGATTCACATGTGCGTTGAAGTAATAGCATAGATGTTAGTATGGATGATACACAGAAACAATCCCAAATTGGGATTGATTCTCAAAGTGAGAGAGAGAGAGAGAGAGGGTTTGTTTGGGGAGAATAATGAGAGCATTTTCATTCTTCTTCCATATAATGGCTTCCAATAATAGAACTTGATTTCACTCTTGAATTTGTTTTTCTCTTCACATTTTAAAGCTTGTTCTTGAAATGAGTTTAAAATGGGTTAGTGAATTTCGTGAATGCAAGAAGAGTTAGGTGTATTTGAAGTAAATATCTGGTGAATAGAGCGCTTTCAATATTAGAAGTGTGACGTCTCATGCTCATGATTCAAAATCTAGATTCACTCTCATTCATATATCATCTTTGTTTATTCATGTATCTCTTCTTTACTCGAGTGTACAAGTTCCTTCAAACATATCACTAATATAACTAATATATCTAAAATGAAATATATCGCAAAGTTTGTGCTATTTTTTATTTTTTATAATTTTGCAATAGGCTAAAAAATTGAAGATTATATGTTAAATGAAAATTGACACCAAAATAAGATCTGAAATTAGTATGAGAAAGGTAGCAAATGATCAAGAAGGAAGAATTTTTAATTTAGGGCAGAAAAAAGGGAAATTAAATATATATATTATATACGGAAGAAAGTCATTTTCCTGGCTCTGACTCATATGGTGGG